GAATAAATTGAGGTGGATCCTGTTCCAATTAGAATTTATGATTAATACCATCATTTCAGGAGGACAAGCTAAGCAAAGCCACACACATTTGAAAATCTATATGACTGAGGGGTCTTAAATAAAAAGGTTACTTGCTGAGTACAAAGTCATCAGGACCCAATCTCCCTGGTGATTTCTTCTCAGTCTCCGAATTTCCAGCAAAGTGACCGACATTTGAAGGTTAGGCTCAAGGAGTATTTATCATTGAATCATAGGATTTCAGAGCTAGAAGGAACCTTTTATAAACGTGGGAACTAAGCTCAGAAAGGAGAAATGACTTGCTCAACAGCGACGACAAGAGGGGGGCCTGCTTCACCATCTTCCTCTGGAAGGACAGGTACGCCCTCCACTTCAGCCTCAAGGGCAAAGTGAGTCAAGGGTTGAAACAACTCTCTTTGAGTGGCCTCTGTTTTTTCTCTCAAATCATTACTGTAAAGGTAATATGCAATTTTCACTTTTTACTACAGAGTCAACTGGTAGAGGGACCATGTGCCAAACCCAGCCTTTAGGACCAGGTCCATCATCTGAAGGGAAAATCATACGTATTAGGACCTACCATGTACCAAGGTCTGATAACAATCCAGCAGATATTATCAGAACACCTACTGTTTGCCTAGCACTGTACTAAGTACTTCACAATGAGTCTTTACAGCAAGCCTGTGGTAGGTCCTATTTTTATTCCTTATTTACACAAGAGGAAATTGAAGCAGAGAAGTTAAGTAACTTACCCAAAGGCACCCAGAGAGTGAGTGGCATAGCTAAGACATGAACCTGGGTGTGGTGGAACCAGAATCTACACTCTCACCACCCGGCTGTTCCAGGCCAGTTCTCACCTAATCTTCACACTTTTATCATGGTGCTATCATTCTCACCATTTTGCAGATTAGAAAACCAAGGCTCAGGAAGGTTGAGGAACTGGTGGGAGACCCACGCATTAGCCATTTTGTAGGCAACCTGCCCCCAGATCCAGTTGCTACACAGCTCACCAGTCATCTGTCTTCTGATCGTCCTTCACCCTCCAGCTTCCCCTGATGGCACATATGACTTTGACAAATTGATTTCCTCGATTAATGTTTGAATGAATTTCTGGGTAGATCAAAGTCAGTTCTTCCTTTATGGGATAGGAATAGAGAACAGGTGTTTGGGCCAACATCTTGGTATGCTTCAGTCCTGAGGAAAGGGCATACAGATCGTTCCTATTCACTAGTGTTTCCCAAAATTCCCTGAAAAAAACCACCTCGTTAAATACAAACTCCAGGACCTGCTCCCGGACTCATGCATTTCTAAACCCCATGGAGCAGCCTAGAAGGCACCGTGATTAACAAGTACCCCCATGTGATTCCGTTCCTTGGGGAAATTTGGGAATGCTGGATAGAACTGACCCTTTGCTGCCTCTTCCAGCCCCCAAATTAAATGGCAGCACAATGCTAGACAGACGTGCCTTTGAATAGACGGGCTTTACATCAGAAACACTTGCTTTGGTCCCTGCTCTATTACCAATTATACTTCTCAGATAAGTTCTTTAACCTTTTGCTACCTCAGTGTTCTTCTCCGTAAATGGGATTAATAATGTTTTCTATCTCACGGTGTTGTCCTGAGGGATAGTGAGATGAAGCAGGTAAAGTGCCCAGCACAGAGCCTGTCATAGAGGCAGGGCTCAAGAAATCATCCTTTCTTATTATTTCTCCTAGTCTAAGGGATTTACATTCCCAAGGATTCAGGGTCCTCAGTCCTCAAAGGGGAAATTTCAGCCTCTAGCAGTAGGTGCAGGAGCCAGCGGTAGGGAAGGGCGTGGCAGTCTTAGGTCCCCTGAAATCACACCAAACATGCCTTAGGGACTGGTAGAGCAATGAAGGTGCTCCTGAGCTCCAAGCTGCATGGGCTCCCACTTCTCCCCAGAGCACAGGGCTCACCTTGGCAGCCCCAGGTCCTGTCTGAGCCCGTCACAGTGACCACAGTTCCTATGAGGACCTAGAAAGCTCCCAGAGGTCCTGGTAAGCAAAGGGCCGAGAAGGAGTGTCTACTCGTGGCTGGGCTGGTCCCTTATCCTTGAGAGCAGGGAAGTCCTGCGGTCTCAGGCTCTCCAATAGGTCTCAGATCTGGCTCAGTCAGAAGTACCACCTCTAAGTCAGCTCATGCCTGAACCCCGGACCCAAACCTGTAAGCGGGTGAGGGCAGCGACGCATCCATTCATTCACTTCCATGAACTTTTTATTTAGTCCCTGCTAAATATGGACTCAACCTTGTGCTGGCCCTCTTGATACCTGGTCCTGCCCTTCAGGAGTTTACTGCCTAACAGGCAAGACAGACGAACAAGCCAGGGTCACATAGTGTGGGTGGTGAGGTACGGAGGGGTAATCCTAGATGCCTCAAAAGGTCGTTTCCAATTCTGTTTCGAATCTTCAGCACAGCCCACAAGCGATGGGGTCACTTGGCTCCCGGTGACACCTACCAGCTTCGTGTCACACTCTTCTCCCATGGGCCACTGCATACCAGCCACCTGGTCTTCTTTGCTTTTCAGTGAACGGACCAAGGTCTTTCCAGGCTCAGGGCCAGGCTCTGCCCTGAACTCTGCCCCTTGTTTTGTCTGGACTTCGCAATTGTCCCTCCTTCAGGGAGTCCACCCTGATCCCCAGACCAGGAGACTTGCAGTGACATTTATCATTGTATCCCTGGCACCCAGCACTGCACCTGGTGTATGTGGTGCCAGAACCACATACATCTTGCGCTAAATATTAAAAACCTCCTTATTGATTCCCTCCCCTCTCTTGTCTCATATACCCAGGTGATAGACATGCCCACATCTCTGCCATCACTAACAAAACTTTCCTTTCTGCTTCAAGATGCCAACCTTTTGCAGCAAAAATCCCAGCAGATGCTACGAAATTACAGATTTTCTTTTCGCATGAGCCAACTCAAAATCTTATTTTGGGGTTAGGTTCCCTCCTCCTAATAGAAATGACAAAGCAACACTTCAGTAGGAGAGAGAGCTCCAGGTTTTTTGTTATTGGTTGTGGTGGGGTTTTTAACAGCAAATCTGTTTCTTCTGCAGGTGAGCTGGAGCCAGTTGTCGAATTTGGGGGAATTTTGTGAGCCCACTGTTAGACCCAAACATTATTAAAAATTACATAAATGTACAATTAAATAAATTACATTAAAAGCAAAAGTAATAAATATGCAAAATCCATCACTTTCTATGTATTTTATGACATTTTACTGCTATATCTGCTCTTGAGGTTATTTACACCCACTGTACCTGTGTGGTGAGCGGACACACATGCCACTGCTTCTCTCTTCCCAACTCCACGTTTAGTGACATTATGTTGGTAGCTTGAAATTGACATGGAGGGGACATTTACTAAGGAAATCGGCAAACGCTACAAACCAGGAGTTATTATTTTTTTAGGGAGCTGGTTTTGAAGCATTTACCAGCACACCACTGCCACTACCCAAAAACTAACAAGGTCAGTCCCTGCTTCCCAGAAGTTTGCAATCCAGTGGCAGAAACACACACACACACACACACAGAAACAGAGAGTTAAGCATGATCCAAGACAGAACGGCATGTATTAAATGGAGCAGTGGACAGCAGCCAGGAAGCGGCTGGCTGGAGCTAGGTTGCCTTCAGATGTGGCCACAAAATGAAAAGATTTACACAGGAGACCCAGAACAATTGCTCTGCCACCTAACTAATTCCTTGGATCCTTATTAAATTATTAAGAAAGATCTTTATATAGACATCCAAGCTTCAGCCTGTGATCAATTCACATGCTTCCCTTACGATGAGGTGCTTACCTTCTCCCTCAGTCAGACAGAGATCAATCTATACAGGTCAGACTGTTTGAATACATCAGAGAGCTTGGATTGCCTCCAGAGATGGGTGCTGAGAACCAGGCACTCAACGTGGTTAGTAATAATTTGGCCCGTTCATCAATGGAGCTCAGTAAAGCGTGTATTGATTTTTCTCCAAAAGATTTACCAATTTGAAGCAGTAGCCCGCAAAACCAAGATAAAACATCAATAGTATTAAAAAACATACTAGACATCTTTTGTGCTTATAAAGGCCAAGAAACTGCTAAAAATTTTAAAAGCTGAGTGGGGGGCTCTAAGTGACCAAGCTGCCAGTAGAGACATGCACAGTGGTCTCCCAGCCTTGGGTGGAAGACAGGATTCTCTGAGTTTAGCTCCTGCCACAGTCTTAATGGGGTGGTCACCGGGTGTTTTGTTGAACTTTAAACAGTTTCATTCCAACCTAACCTATATATTTGTAGCATTTGTTTAAAAGGTCAGCCAATTCCAGTTTTTAAATTATATCTACACACCTATGTGTATATATATGAACGAGTCAGGGAGTGAATGGAAAAGATATTAAGGGACCACAGAAGTGTGAGAGGAAAAGGAAGGGAGAGAGGACAGAGGGAGGGGAAGAGAGAAAGGAAGAGCATAAGGAGGGAGAGGAGAGAGGGTGGAAGGAGCGGCTGAAAGAGTGGGAGAGAGTTGCAAGATGAGAGGAATTTCTGAAAGGAAAGGAGAAGAGATGAAGACAGAGGATGGGAGGGGGCAAAACACAAACAAGGCAAAGGCCAGGAAGAGGGAGGGAGAGGAGAGAGGGAGAGACACGGCCCAGGGAAAGGGGGTGGGGAGGCGGCGGTGAAATCTGGGAGGGAGGAACACTGGTCCAGATTTGAATCCCAGCTCTTCCACCTGCGTCAATTACTGTTCCAGTCTCAGCCTCGGTTTTCTCATCTGTAAAATGGGGATGAGAAAACCTACACTGCAGGATTTTTTGAGGAATTAGGTGAGCGCGGACGTGTAAAGAGCAGGCCCAGCCGTGTCCACTAAGTGAGACGCCAGGGCGTCTGGTGCGGGCGTGGGTCACGTCTCTCTTTTAAAGAACACAATTTCTGCACGGTGGCCTGGGTTTGGCCTCCCTGGAAAACCGAGCCCAAGCATGCACTCACCCTAAAAGATGGCACCCTGCCCGGGCGCCAGGGCGCATCGCTGGAGAGCAGAGCGAGGCTTCCCGTGGCTGCGCCCGCCGCCGTCTGCGCACCGCGGAGGCGCGGGCAACCGCCAATGAACTTTCCACAAAGACAGTTTGCTTCGCGCGGATCTCAATCCATAACCTTTACTGGTCTCTGTAGAGTCATTACGACCATTAGGCTGTGGACTCAGCACTGCTTTAGCTCTTAAGTTAATACAACCGAGACTTTTTTACTTTCCTATTGGGAAGGAACATGTGCAATTTTAGTGATTTCTTAGATCATTCCATAAGTAAATCAAATATTCTTTCAAGCCCAGTTATCAAAATTGTGTCCTTTGATACCACGTCTTCCATCAAACTGCGGTAATCCAGATCAACACATTTTAAACCTCTGCTATCTCCTAATATCATCCTTACTAGATAGAGTAATTAAATTTGTACTTTTTTTACAAGTCGTACTCAATAAATCTGAATAAATTAACAACGCATTACTAAGACTGCTACATTAAATTTGCATAGTGCATTTAATGAATATGCAAGTGCAAGTGGAAAGGCCTGCTACCGCGAACCTTCTACATTAGCATAACTACTTCCAGCATGTTTCTTAAATAATGCACTCATTTGCACATCACTGACTTGGCTAATTCTAACTTCAGTCAGGGTAGCCTTGTAATTAAGACTCTTGCTTTAATTTTTAATGAAGTTTATGTTACATCAATCCTGACAGTAATGAGGGGACATGGAAACAAAAAGGCTGCTAATAATTAAATTCACAAACCAGTTTGAGGGATAATAATTCCTGAGGAGAAATTACATGACTAATTATTAATTAAATATTCATACTATTGCACAGCCATCTCACTTAACTGCTCTTCTTGTTGGTAATAATATTGAGATGTGGATGCCTTTTGCCAACCATTCTGAGTTTAAGGTCTCTGGTTCATTTTAGTGCGCCATTAATCAATATGACACAAAAAATAAAATTGTTTTAATTGGTATCATTTTATTGTGTCTAAATATTACTACAGTTGGTTTAGTTTGTGGAGAATTAATCTAGTTAGTCGGTGCCTGTTTTATGGAAACATAAATCCAGTTTATATCCATAAACATCTAATGGCAGGACAACTTGACCTTTTTTTTTGTAACATTACTGTTTACAGATAATTACACCAACTCTTTAAAAGGTTATTTAATAGCTTTGCATTCATCACAGTAAAATGAAAAACATGCAATATTATTTAACTCCAGCCTGCTCTGAGGAGATCTCTCAGACCCCCGTTTACCCACACTGGAAAGTAAGCAATATTAATGTGTGGGTTTTTAGAAAATGTATGAGAGCTTTTCTTTGAATGTGTACAAACTGATTTACATGTTTGGGTCTGGATCTTCGAATATCTCATTCATAACTGAGATGGGATCTGGTAAGGAAGAACGTGTTTCCCATGGTCACCACTTTCTCTTGCAGGAAAACATGAGGCTGAAGATTTTATGACTCTGGATATCAGAAATGGCAACAATTACCCTCAAAATCCAATAAACAAACGTTACAAAACCAGAGAAATTATGATGATGAAGCCTAATTGGCTGTAGACAAGCTTTTTTTTTCTTTCCAGTTTCTAAGTGATATTGGGTATCTGCATTTATAACAAGAAAGTCCCCATCTGTGGGTAAGTTTAGCAAGGACAAGAAAAGATCTACAATATTTAAATGGCTAACATTAATCATTAAATTAAAACCGGTCATGACATTTGTTTAAAGCTCTGATAAAGTCAGGACAGGATGCTTCCTGGAACCATTACGCGTGTTCTAAAATGAAATAGACACAGAAAAGGACCTTTTATCCTGCCGGGGCATTTAGAAATTCTGGAACCAGGGCAAACATTCCATTTCATTTTTCTAATAACTCAAATTAGTTGATTCATCACAGTGAACCAAGTCTATGACCATAAACCATGGGACAAAGGTTCCCCTCAGCTGCTCTTGTCACCTTGCTGCAAACTGACAGGTTCATAGGGCATTATTACAGGGCCTGAGGGGTATCAGTCGTTCCCTTTTACTAAATCTTAAAAATCTTTTTAGCTTTCCTGTTCTATCTACTCTCTTAAACTAACACCTGAAGGCAATTTGAAAAGACCACTCAGCATGAAGTAGTTTGTGGGTGCGGGTCAGCGTAAAGATGTCACAGTAAGTCCTGGGGCCTGGTCCTGCTTTTTGATTCCTTCACTTGAGGAAATCCTTCTACGTGAGAAACTCTACTTGAGTGGCAGAAGGCCCTCCAAATGGGTAAAGTGGAGACCACAGAAGTGACCAGGGTCCTTGTTCTGGAGGAACGTGCCAAGTCCTGCCTCTTTCTCCTTTCCTTGCCAGGTGCATGCAGTATCTGTCCCTGGTGTAGCAGATGGAGGGAACCATCCAGCAGCAAGGAGACCAGCTCACCACAGGACCCTATCATCTCCTTTTAGGGAAGCAGCCAGAGCGCCAGAAAAGGTTAGGGCTTGGAAGCCAGACATACCTAGGTTCTAATCTCCCTTGGCCTAGTGAGTATCTTTAATAACTTCATCTGAATTGTAGTTTCCTTTTCTGAATGGGGATGATCATACCCCCTTGGCAGGTTGTTGTGAGAATTAGTCACACATGCAAGTGCTTAGCACGTGTCAGCCTCATGAGAGACCAGAGCAGAGTGCCAGTGATTGCTATCGTTATTTCTTCCAAGGAAGATAGTCGGAAATTCTACCATTAGAGAGTCACTCCTTTGAGCGACTCTCAAAGCTTCTTTTTAAAAATGCAAATTGCATTCGTTAAAAAGGGATACCAGATAAAGTCACCACTGGTCTCCAAAGCTTTTGTATGAGTTAATGTAGCAGCTCCCCTTTTGTCTGTAACAGGGGCAGATAAGGCAATACTAGCCAGGTGAGTCAGAGCAGAAGAGGGAGGTGGAGGGAGGAGGGTAGAAATGGAAAAGGAGGATATAGAAACCGGGGGAGGTGGAATTTGTGAGGAAAAAATATTATATATGTCGGGGCTGCTTAATCTCCATAAGGGGCATGAGGACTTATTGCTAGAGAAGGGATTACATATCGATTTCGAAGTTCATGAGTCTGCTTCTGTAATATGACATTTACCATGGATTTTTCTTCCCCTCCACAGATCATCCAGATTTTCAACTTATTTCGACTCTGCTGTCCAGTAGTCTAACTAAATTGTTATGAGAATTAAATGAATTACTATTTGGGGCTGGCCCGGTTGTGTAGTGGTTAAGTTCACACACTCCACTTCAGCGGCCTGGGGTTTGTGGGCCTGGATCCTGGGCACAGATCTACACTGCTCATCTGGCCAGGCTGTGGTGGTGACCCACATACAAAAAATAGAGGAAGATTAGCACAGATGTTAGCTCAGTAACAATCTTCTTCAAACAAAAAGAGAAAGATCGGTAATACATGTTAGTTCAAGGCCCGTCTTCCTCACACACACACACACACACACACACACAATAAATTAGTATTTATAAAACAACAGTGTCTGGTATATAGCCAGTGTAAATAAACAAAAATTTAAATACCATGCTCTAACAGTTAGAGTCTGACCCCTAAAAATCTATCCATTCTCATTTTATACCCCTCCTTCGCCTGCCCATCACACTCCATTATCACCAAATGGCAGACATATATGCAATTTCTTACCTCTGTGCCTTTGCAAATGCTGTTTCCTCTACCTTGAACGACTTTCTCTTTCTACTTGACCACCTATTGAACTCTTATTCATCCTTCAAAATCCAGCTAAACAACTACATCTTCCACAGAGGCTTCCCTCATATCTCCTTCTCTCTTGTAGGTTTCTTTCCTTTGCTTTCACTACAGTGTGCCCACACTTCTATTGTAGCTTGCACACCAAGCTATAGATAATCTAGTTATACTCACCGGGCGTGATCTTCCTCTCTCCAGCTCCTAGTACACTGCAGGGCACACACCGGCACTCCTCAGATGTTTGTTGAATCAAATTGACTCCATGTGACAAACAGCAATTCTATGATTATACTTATAAACCTGAACATCAGAATTTCAATATACATCTCACAATAATGCAGTATTTAACGAACAAAGCTTTTTTTTCTTTTTCTTCTTAATCAAGAGGCAAGAAGACAACAGTAATGAGATGAGAGTAGAGAAGTGAAAGTGGCGTGGAGATGGGAAGAGGTGGGGAAGAAAGTGATTTGTAATTTATAAATGGCCGTTTCTTACAGGTTAGGATCAATTCAGAATGAACTGTTCACTGGAATTATCAACGATTATTCAGTAACAAATCTAAAATTTCCATCTGAATTTTAATTAAAAGAGCCGCTAAATGTGCCAAGTCAGTTGGCACATATGCACAATTTTTTTTTCACAGTTATAAAATTTTCTGGCATGATGTTGAGAATTGCCTGAACCCAAGAGCATTTGCAGGCTGAAATGTTGACATTCCTCCTCCTTAATCCAAGAACCAGAGGGTGCTTGGGGTGAAAGTTGTTTGCTTTCAACAACTAGTGACATTTATAAGTCAAAATGCTCAGCTGCTTGACAGGGATGGACAGGTGGGTTATGCCCAAAGCAACCGATCAACCAGCACCATCTCCTGAGCTCCTGTGGCTCGCCAGTATGTGAGATAAGGAGCCTGCCCTCCAGCGACTGTCCCTCTTCATGAGAGGACTGTCTTCACAGAGAGGAGGTGTGAAGTCAGAAAGCACTGCCGGAGGTGAGAAGTAAGAGGAGAAGTCACTGTGGGGTAGACTGCTCCTTTTCCTCCTCTTTCCCCCTGGGCGTTGACCAGCTCCCTCGGATCTGTCCTCAGCCTTCTTCTCTTCTGTCAGGGGCAGCCGTCTGTAGCAGGTAAGAGCTCAGACTCGAGCACCTTCTTCGGTTCCAATCCCAGCTTTCCACTCAGATGTGTGACCATGGACAAGTTATGCATCTCTGTGTCTCATATCTGGAATGTGTTGTTAAGAGAGAAAAATGTTAGAGAGTATTATGTTTAGTATAGTATCATTTTTAAGTTGGAAAAACTATATTCTTGTAAGAGAAGAGAGAAAGGGTGGTAGATACAAATGATATGTTAACACTGATTAGCTGGGTGGGGGGGAATGAGGAAGCTTATTGAGATTCACCTTGAAATAGCAAAAAAAAAAATCTAATAAAATAAATAAAAAGAAAAGAATGAGAGATTGATGAATTGATACCCCTTCTCTTTCCAAAAAAGGGTTTTTGATAGGTTGAAGGAAAAATAAGAGTAGCATGGTAAAATGAAGCTAGAAGTTAAATTAGTACCAGGAATTTTCTACAATAAGCATGCCTCAGACTAATAATGAGAAAAAAATAAAGTAATAACACAAAATGAAGGAAAATTTTCTCCAACACCAAATGGTGCTGCTCTTTGCTTCAGTCTTGTGCTTGTTTACTTTTAAGTCTTAATGAATTATTATAGTTACATCTTTTCACTAAAGGAAATCTTGAAAATTCACAGATATATAAAAAGACGAAAAAATATGGATATCATCCAAAGGCAATCGTGTTGCTATTAGAATGTATTTCCTTTCCATCGTTTCTTTTTCCTTCGTGTACATGTTTTTGATGATAATGCTGTGAATATGTATTATACCTGTTGACTCGCGGGTCTTGGCTTGCTTTCCTCTCTAGACAGCCTCAGTCCTCCCAGGGATTGGTAACAACAGGAAGAGCAATTCACACAACAGGCTGTTACAATTTCTACAACCCCACCAGCTTACATAGGAGGGGGCTTCGCTAGAAGGTGGCTTCCAGATGACAGTTCCGTTGATATGTCCAGATGAGACCATGTGGTAGGGAAAATATCTGATTTATTCCAAGGGAACCGAGGGAGAGACAACAGATCTGCAGTCTCCATGCTCATAGGTTCACTGTTTTTCACAGTTAGAAAATTGTCTGTCATGATGTTGATGTCTGCCCCCATCACATTCCTCCCAGGACCTTCTCCCAAGGTGTCTTTACCTCAAATTACTATTCACAAAATGTGCACGTGGTCCTTCTCATCATAAGGTAGGTGCCTCCTTGTCAAAGGCACCAGGCTTGGGGATTGCTCAGTGCAGCCTGTATTACAGTGAGCCCACGCCACACTTGGGCAAACTCCTACACTGTTCTTGGTCTCTCACCCCTGCAGTCAAAAAGTACAAACTAGGGGCCGACCCCATGGCCTAGTGGTTAAGCTCAGCACACCCCACTTCAGTGGCCTGGGTTCCGTTCCCAGGCATGGACCTATGCCACTCATCAGCAGCCACGCTGTTGCAGTGACCCATATACAAAATAGAGAATGATTGGCATGGATGTTAGCTCAGGGCGAATCTTCCTCAGCAAAAAGAAGTACAAACTATGTCAACTTTGTTCACCCCTCCTTGGTTTTTCTGTCTCTCCATCAAGTCCTGTTGAAATTCACACCTTTCAATGAATTTACTAATTTCATCCATTTTATATCACTTACCAATTCAACTTATTTACAATAACCTTATTCCCTTTCCCTCCTCTAGTACGATAGATTCCTACTCTGAATCCTCTTTCTGATCAATACTGTCCACCCAGCTCTGTCCTCCTTCCTTTCCTCCCTGTAACAATAGCACTTGCTTATTTCATTTCATAAGTTTGGTAATACCATTTGTAATGGTTGTACAATGTTTGATAGACTGTCATAGTTTACTCAAATATCCTCTCATTGGTTGAACACTTGGAATGTTCCAATTCTTTACTGTTAGGAATGGTACTGTAATAAACATTTTGAAGCATGAAACATTTTTTTTATCTTTTAATATTTTTTCCCCTTAGAATAGAATCCAAATAGTGAAGATTTTGATATTTTATTTCCTTGGGAAAAAAAGTTTTATCCTCCATTAAAAATGAAGCAATTCCCATACATATTCATAAATATGTTAGATTCTTTTGTGAGGGGTAAGAGAAATGATTTCCTCTCGGTTGAAGGACATTTCTTGACTTTTCCCTTCTTTCTCCTCCTTACCTTACTTTCCCCTCAGAATCCACTTAGAAATCAAAACAAAACACTGAAGCACAAACCTTGGGAGAGTATTGTCAGTGCTGCTGTTTCGAGCAATCCAGTTATGGGCAAGTTACTTCACATCTTTACTGAATCCTCCCTGTAGTAAAAGCATCTACAAGCATCTTTAGCATCCAGCGCTAGACGTCTCTGAATCCTTCCACCTGTATTTATTCTGCTTTGAGCCAGCCCTCCTTTTTCAAGCGCACTCCTCTCTCCTTCTTAATTAGCAATGAAGAATGTTCAATTAAGCAAGCAAGCAAGCAAATAAATAGAAAAATCTACTCTTTGGAAAAGCATGGGCAAATGCTCCTTTACACCCAAGTTCCTTTTCTTCTTTTTTTGGCTAGAAAGGTAAATTAAGGTTCCATAAGGTTTCCTGTAAAGTTGACAATGCCTGCTTTGACAGGAGATGGCATCTTATTTTCTTTTGCAAATGTATTCCTATACCCTAAAAGGTTTAGGGTTAGATTCTCAGAATGGCCCTGCCCTTGGCAGTCTTAGTTTTTTAGGGCCAGAGAAATCAAACCCCTTGCCCAATTTGCAAGTCATGACCATAATAATAGTTCCTAATTGCCTAATATTTTATAATTTGAAAGTCAGTTCTACATATGTTATACCATTTATTCTTCTGCACAAGTCTATGAATTAGGGAGTATCCATGGGCTTATCTTTTCTTTACGGAGGAGGAAACTGAGACTCTAGAGCTAATTGCCTAAGACATGACAGCCAGACCTCTTGAATGTGGATCCAATGACTCCAGATTAAGTGTTCTTTTCCTGATATAGATCTACCTTGAAAGAGATCAAATATACTAAGTGATCCAGATGAAGTGACATTTATAAACCTTAGAAGTCTCAGGAAATGAGACATTCTAATTCGGAGATATTTATGGTTCTTTCCAAGATTAATTAGAAAATATTCTTGTTTTTATCTATTAAAAATGAACTTGTACAATAAGACAAGAATAAGTGACAAAATTTAACTTAAAAATACCTATTGAGAATATGTGCCACCACATGTTAAACTCATTATATGACACGTACAGCACTTTGAGGCAGAAATCAATACTCTTCCTATTTTACAAAGAAGCAAACAGATCTGAAGAGGTTAGCAATTTACCTGAGTCACAGAGCAGGAGTTGGTGAAGGGAAGATTTAGATCTGGGCCTTTTCAACTCCGTAGGTGGAGTTTATAAGTGTGGCT